TAAAAAAAAAATTTTGAATTTACTTACTTGTAGCCGGAGTTAGAGGCGGTCGGATACTTATGACCGCTACTGTATATGAATCACATGTATTAAAAAAATTACATAAGTTTACGGTAGTGACAGTAATAATATATATAGACTAACTTTCTCACAATTTCTTTTTGCTTTGAGTGTGTTTGCGTTTTTTACTCTCTTACTCTTCACTCTTCACAACTACGATTAGGCAAGTATAAGAAATTTTGTTAAACTTTTTTTTTGTTTAAATTGCTTATAAAGTCTATCAGATCCAAAGAAGGTTTTGATTATGTTCTTCTTTATAGCAATATGAATATAATATCTATGGGATAAGTGTTCACTACGAGTATTCTTATGTATGAATTCTTATTACTATAGTATTCATGCATAATTTTTCATTACGATGTGCTTTTCTCGTGCATTGATTCTCACTACTACATCTACTACAAGTTCTTTTGTGTATGAGTTCTCATTATTACGAGTTTTTAAGCATATGCATTTCAAGTTTTCTTACATAAGCAGTACTCATTATGAGTGCTAATCTTTGTAAGGCATTATATTCGTCTGAATTTTTATCATACTTGCTTAGATGATCATCTAATCACTTGATTTATTTTATAGTTTATTATGGAAAAACATATAATTGATTATCTTAGAACAAATGAATATCGAAGTTGGAGTGTCCTAAGTGTTTTACAATATTTGTCTGTTAATATTAAATACACGAATGACAATATCGAAGAAATTTCTCGGATATTACAACAACAATTAGATGTAACATTACAGGATCCCAATATTTTCAAGTTAGCGCGAGATAAAGCAAAAAAACTTTCAGAAAATTTAGCATTAGATATAAATAAACCGGAAGTTCAAGAATTTTTTAAGCGTAATGGTGGCTAGTTATAGTCTTAAAAAACTTTTAAATATTTACATATATTTATGCTTGTATATAATAACTTAATAAAAAAAGGTTAAATTTTATTTATTTATTTTACAAATTATTATTATTTATTTTCTTTTTTCTATGTTATCTTAGAGTCGCCTTTGATTTTCGTATTAAAAAAATCTCTGCTTATGACGTAGATGACGATATTATCGAAGAAATCCACAAATTTCCCTTTCAAATTCAACATTTACTTATTAAAGAGGCTTGTGCTGTAATGGACAGGATTGAGAAAGGCAAATGTGCACCAGGGGGGACTTTGAAAAAATTTTTAAAATTTTGTAAAAATCATTTTTTTAAATAACATGGAAGAAGTAAATAAATTACAAACCGATATAAAAAAACTAAACACGAAATTATTGAAATTAGAATCAATAATCAAAAACCAAGAAGATCAAAATGCAAACCTAAAAAACGAAATAAATCTACTTAAGGTAGAATTATAATGTAAAGATGATGAAATAACGAACTTAAAAAATGAAATAGCTCAGCTTAAGGTAGAATTAAAATGGAAAGATGAGGATTTGAAAGAAAAAGATAGAGAGATAAAGAATTTAAAGAATAAAGTAGAAAATCTTGAAGCGGAAATAAGAAAAATCGACATATTAATCACTTACAGAGACGTAGTTGATTGCTTCAAAAGTTTTTATTTCAGAAGAATTAAGCAAAGTTAATCAAGGGATGAGTGATTGGACAAGGCTTAAAAATGCTCTAAGAGCTGAAAAATACAAATACCCTAAAGTTGTAACACAACAACTGTTTAAGGTCTTAGAAAGGTTAGGTTTGACGCTTAAAGAATTTGATAATTTGTTAGAGCTAAAAATGTTAGTTTTAAATTCCACAAAGCTTCGGTTTGGAAAATATACAAGAGATAAAAACCCACCTCAGAGAAACAAAGTTTCCTGATGATTGGGAACTAACAAAACAGGCGCTTATAAAAATCATGGTTCCTCTTGAAATGTGGTTATTGTTGCAGCTAGCTCAAGAACCGGTTGAAAAAACATAATTATGAGTATCTTGTCGAAAGATCAAAAAAATCAATCAATATTCCTAGTCCTGAAGTCAGAAAACCAAATGAGGGAGTTGATGAATCCCATTAAAAGGAGTGATTATGAATATTTTGTCGCTAGGAAACCTAGTAAAACAACAAGGTAGGATAATCAATAATATGTTTGAAGTGAATTGAGTTTTACGATCACGATAACGAGCTGTAACCAAAACTTTGGTTTATTTTTTTTTTTCTTTTTTATAATTGAACGTTCTTTCTTTATTGTTTATTATTTACATACGTGCAGATAAGAACGTCTCTTCCTTTGGGTAAATCTTGGCGGAGGGGTTATGATCGATAATTAATCAGCTCGGCAGTATTGATAGGTCAAAGCTTAAAAAAATTTTTCTTGAAATGTCTTGATGTAATATTTCTTAAATCATAAAATAAATATGAATTATGAATGCTTGGGGAGATATTTGATAAGTGTCTCGAATCTCGATATGTTGTATATAAAATATTTTGTTATAATAGAAAATTCAACCACGAAATTCGCATATTACACATCCCGAACGTTCATATTATGAGTGGATTGCGAAAAGAGAATCTTATGAGGAAAACGAAAAAGTGCTGACGTGAAAATGGAATTGTTTACTCAGAACCAGATGGTTGATAAAGAAGCTAGACGATATAACTTTGCTAGCGGAAGAGAACGTTATAATGGAGGTACTTTTTTAACGGAGGTTCCAAGAAGACAGATCAGAAGGCCAGGAAGGCAAGCATTTACTATAGATTGTCTTGTATCTTACCATCTTTATCATCAGCTTCCCTACCTCAAGATGAGTTGCTAACCGATGAAAGTAGTCGTTGAACAACTTTGTAATCAATTTCAACTGAAAGAGTCCTGAATACATTTACCTCCACGTGTAGAATACTTCTCATGGAGAGTCAAACGATCGCTCAATCATTGCATCCAAATGTAAAATTAAATGGATCATTAATAGAAAAATGTAATGACATTAATAAAAACATCCATTTACTGCAAATATTTTATTTATTGATACATTGTTCACGGAGGCGTACTCAATTACGCCTTATACAATTGGAGATTAACTGGTATCAAGTAAGAAGAATCAATCAAATAAACTGAAGACTGAAATTGGCAAGCTGTGCTTTGGCGAGAAGTGTTTCTCGTTTATAAGTCAAGAACATAAGTTTAGGCTACTTATGGAAAGATATCGTGTCTAGTTGATTGTAAAATTAACTTATCTCCGTTGTTAACGCCAAAAAAATAAACATTATGACAATTCAAGATCGAAATTGGTTAAAGAAATTTATCAATTGATGATAGAGACTCTCATGAACCTAAACGTTATGTAAAGAAAGCTAGAAAATAAAAAGAAGCGTCGTGCTAATTTCGATGGATCCGTGAAGAAAGAGAACGTTTATTTGCAGGAATGATCGAAAAATCATGCCTTACTATGGCTAATTTGTGATTCAACATAGTTATTAAATACCCGTGACGAAAATCCTTTACATTTAAGGGATAAGTATATCAAATAAAAATTTTATTTAAATGGATCTTAAAATTTTATCAAAAAAAAAATTTTTTTTTTTTTGATTAAAAGGATTCTCAGCGACAAATTTGTACAAAAGTAGATTAAATAATTTAATTTTGTAATTAATTTTAATAATGTCAAAACGTTCACTTAGTGCAAGTAGCAATCAAGAAGAGGTGGAAGAAAAAGTTAATAAAAAACAAAAGGCAGAACAATCAAATTTGATCGATGGAATTGGTGAAGTCCCTCAACTTGAAACTACCGGTATAAACATTTGGTTACTCTGTTTAACATTAATGATTATAATGCGTATTCAATATATTCTTTATACTTTTATACTTATAATTACACTAGAAACAGCTTCGGAATCAGTCAGTTTCGATTTCGAAACTTTAGATATTTCGGAACCTACTAAGAAAGCCATTAAAGAAATAGGGTTCACTAGAATGACGGAAGTTCAAGCAAGAACGATACCTCCATTAATGGCTGGTCGAGATGTTCTAGGTGCTGCTAAAACAGGCAGTGGCAAGACTTTAGCGTTTTTAATTCCGGCGATTGAAATACTCCACAAATTAAAGTTTAAACCCAGAAATGGTAGCGTTTCATAATATTCTAATTACATATAAATTATTTAATAATTACCTTTATTTCAATAGGAACCGGTGTAATCGTCATTTCTCCAACAAGAGAGTTGGCTCTTCAAATTCTTGGAGTTGTAAAAGAATTGCTTCAATATCATCAACAAACATTTGGAATTGTAATGGGTGGAGCTAATAGACAAGCTGAAGTTCAAAAAATAACTAAAGGAGTAAATTTATTAATTGCCACTCCCGGAAGATTATTAGATCATCTTCAGGTATTTTGTAAGATCATTTCAAATATGATAAAGGCAAATTTTATCTTTAATAATTAATTATCATATCACATAGAACACCAAAGGGTTTGTATACAAGAATCTCAAAGCTCTTGTTATAGATGAAGCAGATCGTATATTAGAAATTGGTTTTGAGGAGGAAATGAAGCAAATTATTAAAATTCTTCCCAAAGGTATTTTATATATATATATATTAGGAAGTTATGCATAGCTTGATTATACATATATATTGTTAATTTTTTTATTATTTTATTTTTAGAAAATCGACAATCAATGCTCTTCTCCGCTACGCAAACAACTAAAGTTGAAGATCTTGTACGAATATCCTTGAGACAAGGACCATTATATATTAACGTAGATGAAAAAAAAGAAACGGCTACAGTGGATGGACTTGTTCAGGGATATGTTGTTTGTGATAGTGATAAAAGATTTTTATTATTATTTACATTTTTAAAAAGAAATTTAAAAAAAAAGGTTATAGTGTTTTTTTCTAGTTGTAATTCTGTTAAATACCATGCAGAATTATTAAATTATATTGATGTGCCGGTATTAGATTTACACGTAAGTGATCTTTTTATTTTAATCATCTTTATTTGTATGTAAACTTGGATTTAATTAATTAATTAATTGTATTATTAAAAAGGGAAAACAAAAGCAAACAAAGCGTACAAATACCTTTTTTGAATTTATTAATGCACAACATGGTGTTCTACTTTGTACAGATGTAGCCGCAAGAGGATTAGATATCCCTGCAGTGGATTGGATCATACAGTACGATCCGCCAGACGATCCACGTGATTATATTCATCGAGTTGGTAGAACCGCTAGGGCAGGTGGTCAAGGAAAAAGCTTATTATTTTTATTACCAAATGAATTAGGGTTTTTACGCTACCTTAAACATGCAAAAGTACCATTAAATGAATATCAATTCCCTGCAAATAAAATTGCTAATGTTCAATCACAGGTATGAGACTTTATTTACATATTTTTTTTTTTTTTTTTTTAATAATAATATACTTTTTTCTCGTTTTCATACAGCTTGAAAAGCTTGTTGAAAAAAATTATTATCTTCACGAATCAGCCCGTGATGGATTTAGATCTTATTTAATGTCTTATACTTCCTATTCACTTAAATCGATATTTAATGTGAATAATTTAGATCTTCAGAAAGTCGGTAAAGCATTTGGTTTTAAAGTACCACCAAAAGTCCATATTACTATAGGTTCGAGTGGAAAAGATTCAAAAATTAGCAAACGAGATAGAAATGATAAGGGATCAAATAATCATTTTGTTAAACAGAGGGGTAATTCTTTGAAAAAGAACAATGATAAACAGTGGAGTAGATAAGTTATTCAAAAAAAAAAAAAAAAAAATTATTATAAAAGGCTTATTCAATTTAATAATTTATAACATCCGTGTGTGTGTATAATTGGTTGTATTCCTTTTCCTTTTCAATTACCGAGAAAAACGTTTATAAGAATACACGCGAAACAATTTTTTTTTTTTTTTAAAAAAATTCAATCTCGCAATTATTTGGAATAAAATTTTACATGAATAAAATAATTATCGATAAGTAAAAATGATAACAATAAATATATGTTTACCGAATATTCATGGGAAAAAGATTTAAGAAAAGAAGAATGTCAGTACTCAAATAAAAAGTTACTGAAATGAGATAAATATCAACTTCACTTCAAAGAAACATTGTTAATGACTCGTTATTCAATTCCATAATTATCATGCATATGATTTCTTGGTCCACGTGGCATCATTTGTGCTTGTGTAGGTGCGTTAGAAGGATGACCCATCATTTGAGCACCACCTTGCATTAATTGAGGTACCGCAATCATAGGTTGAACGGTTGACGGCATTCCACCCATTTGCATATTTACACCAGAAGGCACCATATGCATATTGACAGGTTGAACATTAAGTGTTTGCATATTAACACCAGTCGGTATTGGGCCCATTTGCATCGTCATTTGAGGTACGGACATTCTCATAGTAGATTGAGGTGGCGCCATTTGCGGAATTCCGTTATTATAATTATTAATAGCTGTTGAACTTTCAAAATTATCAACTAATAAATCTTGAAAATATATATGTTTTAAGGCATTTTTTGCTGTAATTCTTTTGTCAGGATCAAAAACTAACATTTGCATGAGTAAATCTAATCCATGACGGTCGATCATTGGAAGATATACTCCCATATCTTGTTGAGGAAATTGTGGGTATGGTTTGTGATATTCTGGATATTGTGACACTCCTTGCCACGTTTGTTCATTTGGAGTTCCCATGATACGAAAAACTTTGAGTAATTGGTCTTCATTGGTAGTCTACGTTGTCGTCACGTGACATAAAAAAAAGAGAAAAAAAAAAATTAGACGAAAGTTCTCGAGGTTGGAATTTAAAAAAAAACCGACAACATTAATAAACTTACACCTGGAAAGAGGGGACGTCCAGTATACATTTCAGCCATAATACAACCTGCTGACCATATATCAATTGATGTTGAATATGATCTAGAACCCAAAAGCACATCAGGAGAACGATACCATAAAGTAACAACTTCATTTGAAAAAGTTGTTACGGGAATTCCAAAAGCGCGTGCCAAACCAAAATCAGCAAGTTTAAGTTGTCCATTTTTATTAATTAAGAGATTTTGTGGTTTAAGATCTCGATGAAGTACTCTATTTTGATGACAAAAATCTATTCCTGTTAACATTTGATACATAAATAATTTAATTGTCATCGAATCTAATGCTCCATGATTTCCACGAGAATCCATATATTTTTTAAGATCTTGATCCATATATTCGAAAACAAGCATAAGCTTATTTTCTGTATGAATTACATCTTTCAACTTAACAATATTTGGATGTTTTAATTCTTTCATTAAAGATATTTCTCTAATAGCTGTGGAAGGTGCTCCTTCTTCTGAATCCAAATGAATTTCTTTTAAAGCCACCGTCTCTCCTGATCTTCGTTCTTTGCCTTTGTAAACTGTGGCATATGTACCTTCTCCCAACTTTTCTAACCTAATGTATTCTCTT